ATTTAGACAGCTAGATTTTTAAATGAACCACAAATACGTACCATTTATGGAAAACTCCATTTTATTCGTACACAAGTTTCAGTGGTCAGTGATAACGGCATATTCATTTATGGTACTTTTTATCAACCCAGTGTTACTGCTTTGAAATCATGCAGAATAATATTGTATGAAACTTGTTGACAGTACCTATGTATACTTCTACACGAGCAACTGAATTACCGGATGCATTTCAGCGGTAATGAAATGTGAAGCCTGTCACTCACGTGGTTAGAAAACATTGGGCTGTTAATTTCAGCGTTGATACAAAGTAGGTTCACGTTAGACAGTTAAGTATCGTCTTCCCTTAAAAATTGGCTATGTATATTCTCACGTCTTACAGGATAGAGGTTGAAATCACCCAGTTGCATTTTGGTCTTGTAATTTTGACTAGAAAACTTAGGTTAGTTGAGGTTTTCATTAGGAGAGGTTGCATTTAACACATATATGGAATTGAAACCACATTCTACACAGATCCGCTCGAAAACGAAACCTTATCACGTCGCTTGCCGCTCGCATTCCAAGCATATGTAGCCCTTATACTGTGGGCAATGAGTTAAATCTTTTAAGAAAAAATCCTAACTGAAAATGGATTCCCACCACATTTTATAGACAAGAATATACAGTCAAGTCCTATGAATTGCTAATTATCATCCGTACCCAAGAAAATACTGTCTGTACATGAACTTGGAATTTAAAGGTGACTTAGCTTCTGATATCACTAAAAGAAGGATCCCACAGTTCATGAAAAGAATATTCCCTGATGCATCTTTGAGAATACCCCTTACCAGTCAACCAATACTGTTCAGTAACCTGAAGGACAAGATCCCTTAGTTGACCAGCTCCATGTGCGTTTATCAATTCACCTGCTCGTTTGGAGATAGATATATCGGTCGTTCGGCTCGAGTTTTGTCTAAGAGGGTGTAAGAATACTATTCTCCATGGTGGTTACGAAGAGGTGGAAGTGAAGCAATAAGTAGCGCGAACATTGAACATATGGTCGATAATCATCACCTTATCTCTACAGCCTCCGCCTTTAAAGTCATCTAAAAGTAATTTGCCCAAATCACTGCGTACCTGACTCATCTGTATTGCTGAAGCCTTGGCTGTCGGAACAGTAAGGCCAGATCTCTGTAAACAGAAGAAGTTTATTCAACCCCTCCAACTTTCAGGTATGAACTAACTAACCTTCTTTGCGCTACTAAATAAACCATTTCTTCCTCCCTTACAGTACCAAACATTATTGTTATTGTATATCTTATATTTATAATCTTCTCAATTATTTTGTTTTTGTTCATTTTCTTCATAAGTGTGAACATAATTTAAGCTGTGTTAGAACTGTTAATTTTGTATTTCCCCTCACTATACTATATCAACAGAACATTAGATTCAATAATCTATAACATGCTAAAGTTTCCAAACTGAATCGACAATACTGTTTGAAACAAACTCACTGTTATTATTATATTTAATAATCTCAACTCGTGCTTCGAATGTTTTTGACTTTACATCGTAAACGTGGACAAATTCCTCTGGTTAATTTTGTTTATATTTTGAGTAAATCAGATGCAACATTGTGACAAATACTGAGAATTATAAGTATTGTATTATAAGTACTGTTTTTGGAATAAAGTAGATTATTATCATTATTAATCCCTCTATGCTAGATTATGGTAATCCCTAATCACATTTCGGCTCTACTAAACTCTTTTGTTTTGTTTATTCAAATTTATATACACTTCATTTATAACGTCAATTGTTACTGTTACTATTCTCACTTTGAACTGTCCCCGGTATTATTTCACTCGTTCCACTTGTCATTCTAAATCAATTCTGTTTTGCAATGTTAAATTCTATGTTATCAAATTTCACACAATGTTACGTAACGTTGTAATATTCATTCGATTTGCCTGCTAATCCTGTAAATGTACACTCCTGCCAAATTCTGTGCATCCTATGAACTATTCTACAGATGATATTGTTTTACTACTTAACTGTGATTATAATCACACACATTCTAATTGCATTCCATACTACTATTATTATTTTATGCATCCACGGATATAATTTCTTAAAAGGCATATATATGCAAGCGCACAGCTTGATGGTGAATTCGTTGAAAAGAGTCTCTTCGCTGCCCTTCACTTATTTTGATTTTCTAATGAGATAAGACAACAAAATGCAATCTGATCATGTTGTAAATACCACCAACTGACTGACATGAATCGGTCGAAACTATCAATGCTGGTTATAGGGTGTCAACCGCTTATCAGCAGAATTTACTTCGTGTAGCAATTTACTCTCCTAATGTGTAACTAATTCAGGTAAGTAGACTGTAAGTATTGCTCATGATCGCCTCGAACAAAAGGAACTTCAAGACCAGTTTTGAAAGTAGTACTGATATGTTTGATTTTATGTCCATTAGTATTAAAATTCAGGTAACGATTTCACCTGTGATTAAATCCAAACATGCTGGTATATCTGCCTCCGACTTTTTAAGTGTACTACAGTGTCATCAAATGTCGGTTTACAGGGATTTGATTGATTTGAACTGAAGTCAGTTCAATCAATTCTCTGAAAACCAATACCTAAAAATTAATTTAGTACTCACTACTGACTAACTGTATGATGAAGTTGACTGAAGTTCCAGTTAAAATTCGTGAGTATCAGGGTTCACCGAGTAAGGTGTGAAGAGAAATACTCGACAATTTCCCTCCATGAGATAGGGGTTTCGGTTGGTTGCACCCCAGGATGATACCGAATGCCGTTCTAGTTTTGTAAAAGGCTGGGTTGGAAGTGTATAATTAACCAGTCGACGGGTGTATCATTGTATGAACTTGACGATGACATTTGCTAGTGGTTGCGCCATATATCAGGAATTGGCAGAAGTTAGATTTCATGAAGCATAAAATTTCGTGCAAGTGGCTGAATGGCCAACCAGCTCACCATGTGAAGGTCAGGGGTTAGACCCTAGTGCAGTCATGGGTGAGTACTATTGAAAAGCCACAGAAAGGGATGAAACAGGTGTCAATTACTCCGTAGTTCTCAATGATTCTCTATATGATACCAATCCGTGATTAAACTTCAAAACTTCATACATTGAACAACGCTCAATTCCATTTTTTCAGCATAAGAATATGGTGAAAAAAGAGTAGTGACTGATGTCAGCTCATGATGAAATCCTGTAACCAATCAACCAAATCCCTACAAACCAATACTTGAATACCAGTGAGATGCTCACTGGCGACTGGCCCTATTCAGGTAGGTATTTACCTGGGGTTCCAGTGCGAAATCGTGACCAGTAGGGTGTAGCAGGTCGGGTGTGAGGACAAATAGTCACCGAAGACATTGGCTAGCGGTTGCATTATATCGTGAATTGGCAGAGGTTAGAGTTCATGGTGCCATTGGATTGGGTCCCAGTGGCTTAATATTTTTTTTTTTATTACAGCATGATTCCACACTGTATTTTTGGTACAAGTATGGAATTTTCAGCATGGATATCGGTAGCCCAAATTTCGCAGGCCGACCATAGATATCAAGGTATGCGTCGGCGTGAGCTCGAACCCCGGACCATGTGCATGGTCGGCGAGAGTCTTAACCACTGTGCCACCGACGCACACAAAATATGGAACGCTTCACGATTTTGCGTGTCATCCTTGCGCAGGGGCCATGCTAATCTTCTCTGTATCGTTCCAATTTTAGTATATGTACCGCCGAAACGAGCTCGCCTTGTAACCAGAAAATCCTGGGTTCGAGGCTCCTGTTGGTGGGTGCGTACTGCTGAAGAGTCCCAAACTAGGACGAATCAGCTGTCCAGTACTCCCAGGTTTTCCAATGGTTCTCTAAATGATGTCAGCTCATGATGAAGTCCTGTAACCAAGAGTAGTGACAGTTGAAGACAGACACAGTTTAGTGAATGCAACAAAACTTTTAAGCAAAAAAAGTTTTATTCTTTTCTCCGTTTAAATTTCACAAATTCACAGTTTTACATTATAGATAAATGTTAACCACAAAAATCCCGTTAGTTGTTTCTACACATCATTTCAACAAACCAATAAAAGATAGAGAAGAACAGAGAGAAGGAGGGAAAGATATTCATTCATATGTATGTTATATAAAGGATTTAATATATAACACAGACTGTCATATACATATGTATATATGGAAGTTGGTTCACACAAACACTGTGTAATAGTCAGACAACAAAACAGAAATGCAACGGGGAAAATATGTAATAATTATTCAGTGAGAGAATAACAATAATAATGATAATATTGTAAATAATGAAATTAAGAAAAAAAAAGCCAAACCGAATAAAACAGAAAATCAAAAGAGATAAAGAAAAACCATTTTTTTAAAAATTTGTTTAAGACTAACAACAAACCAGAAATGAAGTCAGCTAATTACTTGAAGCCAGTTAGTTTGAGCCAGTATGTTTGAGTGTGTGTGTGTGTGTCTTGGCTTATAAGAAGACAGAGAGAAATGAGAAGAAACAAAACAGGGATATTATAAAACAGCTGATTAGTATGTGTGTGTGTGTGTGTGGCGGGCGGGGGGGGGAGGTGCGCGGATGGATGGTTATGTTTATGGGTTGCACTCACCACAATGAAGTAAGCGTAAAAATAAACACCACCAATACATTGTTGAAAAATAAAAAACATCAAAATAAGGTACAACAATATAGAAGAGTACTCTACTTTATATGTGAATATGATCTGAAATTGTCTGTCAATCAAACAGTAAGAACAGGAATAATTCTCATAATAAAGATTTATGATAATTAAACTGTTTGACATACAGGAGAACAGAAGCATAGAGTACTGTATACAGCGTCGTTGAAATTGTCATCCTTGGCAGTAAAGGCCAACAATAAAATAACGAAGTACTATTCTCCAATGGAGAATAGGTGTAAACCAATAGGAATGAAAAGCAAGTTATATATATATATATATATAATTCGTAGATTATGAACAGTAAGATTCAGTTGCTGTTAATGGATCGACTGATCGTGGAGGCCAATTTATGACACGACGAAGCGGTCGAAAGGAATTGACTGGAAGATAATCTGATTTCTTGTTATCATAATAGTTAGAATTGGAGGTGTTCACTGTCAAAATACAAATAAATTTTTACAAGACAGTGAGAGAGAGAAGAATGAATGAGAGGATTATATATATATATATATATCACTGATGGTGTCAACTAGTACACCTTGACAATAACGGTTATGGATTGAAAATATATCTTGGTTTGATCATCTTTACTTATTGTTAACCAAGTTTTATCTCACGTGATATGCACATTAAGGTTCCGCAGGAATTAAACACACTTGAGATGGTTCAATTAGCGATTCCCTACCAAACACGAAGTTCAACCTCAATAGCATGGTGGTTGAAATAACACACGATAAATATTACGGATATACCTATGAAAACCGGTTGTTGTATTTTCTCTCCAAGTGGGAAACAGGTCTTCCAGCTTTGAAGTTTTAGTAGCGATGATGTTTTTATGGAGTTGGGTTGCTCACCGCTCACCTGACCTTCCCTCTTTGCTGGACTTACTGTCGACTGGTAAACTAGACGAGGCTTATGCGCGTGTCAGGTGGGAATCGAATCAGAAACAGGTGCATGACTGTTGAGCATTCTATTACTGAACAGTCGACGAGTCACTATTGTCTAACGTATTCAAAATTCATTTCTCCACAACAGTAGACTGTACTCACTCCTTGACAAGTGAACAGTGCGGCAGATGCCACAAGTGGAGAAATATGGAGATTTCATCCCTAATGACAGATTAAACACACTTTAATTCTTGATTGGAATTTGGAAAACCTTCATTTAACAAGACTTTACACCAACAAATAGTTTATTTTTGAAATTCCTAATTATAACTGTAACAGAGTTCAGAATAACATTAACAAAAGATTTATACGACTACCATATTATGATTATTATTCAATTAGGTTCCTAGTGGAACATACGGTCTAAGCGGCACATATCTGCAGTCTTCTGTAGCTGGCTTCACGACTACCTATAAGCTTTCATCTTCTCCTCAAACGATCTGCTCCATGTCACCGTCAGCCACTCAACTCATCGTTTCCTATTCGTGGGATCGCATTCGATCCATCTCCATTTCTTTCAGCATATTTATTGTGCGATAGGTTCTCTCTCTCTCTGTCAGAAATCCTTGTTGTTTATCCTTTCTGGACATCTCACCTTCCGTATAAAGCCCCTAGAAGGCAGATGTTGATAAAAGTTTACAGTTGGCTGTTGGAAACGCTTTCCGTGACGCACGTGTTAAAACTCTCTTAACCACATAAAAGCACTGACTTGAAATCAGTGCTGCTTATACTGAGTGCAGTAGATTTCTGCACTGATTTCAGCTAACTGAATGTTTATCTTTCTTTTCCTAACCTGGCCAACTGTGATATTCTCATCTTTGTTGCTCATGGTAAGTGGAAGCAATGAATTCCTCTTATACAGATAGGCCTTCCTGTGAAGTTTACTTTCGATTGTATGTTGTATATAGTCAATTACTGCTTAATGTTTCAAACTAGTTGATGTACAAGTGTATGATAAATAAATAATCTTGATAACTTTCGATATAATTATGGATATCAGGCACACTAGTCGTTAACTATTGCAATTTATTACTGTTATGGCATATTTTTGTTGTTTTGTTGTCTTTTGAAAATAGACTTTAATCTTGTACACGTTCAGTTGTGAAATACTTATATAACTATTCAAAATTTGAGTGAAATAAGATTTTAAGAAAACAGGTTATACACAATATGTTGGCAGATAGAGAAATATTTACAATAGATAGATAGAGAAGAAGAAGAAATGTAGCGTCTAGACAAACTTTAATGATATTGATTACCTGTCTGTCTGTTTTCAACATAGAACTTTGCACATATGTGCGGAAGTTCAAGTCACCACACTCCACTCCTTGTAGCACACAAAGCAACAGAAGAAAGTACAAGAAAACCATAATAGAGACAGTAAACAGAGGTGTGAGACAAAGGAGACAAAGTAATAACGAAGAACAAAGCATTGTAATTTGAAATCATAAGTCACAGGGAGTGGATGCATTTGCGCCAGCCATCGAGAACGATTTTGAGCCATGTCACCAATTGTTTCCAACCATTGGTGCTTACCGTCCCGAGGACCCCAACCAGTCAGGAAGTCTACACCTTCCTACGTGGCTGGCTTAGACTAACTGTTGTAGATTTCATTGACTGGTGAAGCCATGTTTTGGTTTGACCGCCACTAGCTCTTTTCCAGCCTGACCCTATGTCAGCTAACATTGCCCATCAGTCGAGGAAGGCGATGACTAGGCTAGGCATACGTAACACATGTCCTAACCATCTCAGTCTTTGTAACTTCACAACTTCGTCGATTGATTTCCCCTGCTTACCTAGCACTGGACGGACGCCTAACCTCAATATTGCTCACCTTATTATACCACTTCACACGGGGGATAGAACGCAGACAGGCACCTATGATCAAAGACGGCTAATCTTTTCATGTCTTCCACTCTCAATGGCCAGGTCTCACAGCTAGCCATGAGGGAGGACGGATTGATTACCTTTGGCTAGCTTACATCGTTATGCTACTGTCTATACTATTAAGTAGCGCGTTATTCGTTGAAATTGTCAACACATACGAATCAGCAGCAAAAGTAAGTGTGCACTATAAACTTATTCATTTGGAAAGCCCAAATTGAGATAAGCTAATGACAAGAATTTGTAAGTAGTATGTATGCAGTGATGTAAAAGTCTTGCATAGGCGTTCAACAGATTAAGTTGTAATAACACAAGAAGTGAAAATAATCACGCAGGAAAAACAACCCAACACAGAATGCAGGAAAAAAGGAGAATAACAGAAGCTGAACGCGAGTGATTTCTGTAAAGTGTTTACCTTGCAATTAACAATAACTGAAGTGAATTATCAGCAAACATACAGTATTGCACAAAACGGCAGTAATCATGTCACCAACAGCCTAACCAGACAGACTAAACCTCCTCCACCCTACGTGATTTGAATCAAAAGACAAAGACTTCATGCATTGGCGCCATATTTTCGTCTGACCATACATGCCCAACCTTCTTTCCAATCGAGCCCAACTTCAAATTCACATTTCTCATAACCACAGAGCCTAGAACAGATATATGATGTCACCAATAAATTCACACTAAATCAATGCTTCGTCTTTTCTTATGCTGCTGTAGGTAACTGTAATTAGTGTAGACCCATTTAGTGCTGTTTTCTTCTTTCTATTTATACTTGCGTATCTTGTTTAAGCGAATTCTGATTACAATTTCACTACTAAATGAGATCACACTGTGTGCTTTTAATGTGTTTTTTTCTCTCTTTCTACATACTAACTAACTACACTGATGTCACTAAACAAAACTCGCTTTATTCACACAAAAGGATTGTGTTTATTTGCGTGCATGCGTATTTCTTGCTTTCTTTATTTCAGTAATTGAATGCGATAAACTGGGTAGAGTGTTTCTCAGTATGAACAAGTCATTCACTCACTCACTCACTCACTCATTCAATAACTCATTCCCTTTACATATGTGCATATTTCATAACCAAGTTAACCCAGTGTAAAAATTCAGATGAGCAATTTCAATTTGTAACATTTTTATGCTTTCCCTCTATCTTTCTCGACTCGAAGCACCCCCTTCTCCTACTGTGTCTGCATACTGTGTCTGTCTCCTACTGAATCAACACTGTTGATTCACTGAGTGATGAAAGCTTGTTTATTTCTAAAAATAAACTACACAAACAAAGAAAATTCATTAAAATCAAATTTTTCTTGTAAAATTGATAGATTCTTTTGTTTTTTTTTGAGAAGAAGCAGGAGATAATGGCGAAATGTTTAAACACAGCGGGACTGAAAATGTCTCTGTTTTCATTTTCACGATACACTGTTGTTTAGTTGAGATTGATTTTGTCTACACCCTTTAACCTGGGTAGTGTATAATCCAAATATTGTGACTGAGAGTTGAAGGTGGCAGAAACAAATAAGACAAAAAATTATTATTGTCTCCAAATTATCACATATGGTGTCAGCATATCATCTCAAGTGAAAAGTTAACCAACATATTGGAAGCAGGTGAGAGTATAAACATGCAAAGCAAGAAAGATTCGAAAAGTGAAGGGAAAAGGTGACCATATGAATAAAGAGATAATCTGGTCAGGTCATGGTGTAAGTCACTGATTATCGCCATATATAAGAAGGGAGACCAATCTTCCTGTGATAATCACAGAGGGATTAGCTTGACTAATATAATATCTGAAGCCCTAGGCTCAATATTCATGCGTAGACTAAGTGGTGCTCGGGAGACACAAACACGAGAGCTAGGTAGGCATTAGACCAGGAAGAGGGTGTATTGATCATATCTTCATCCTCCGACAGATTCTAGAACATAAGCATTCCTACCGGCGTCCAACAATCATCATATTTCTTCACCTAAAGGCGGAATTCGATTCTGTCGACCGAGAGGTTCTCTGGCGATGCTTCGCCGTGAAGGGAATTCCGAGAAAATACATTGCAGTGATTGAAACACTCTACTCGTACTCATACAGCCAGGTGAGGGCTTACGTCGAGTTGTCATCCGAACTGGTGACGACTAGTGGTGTCCGTCCGGGATGCACTGCCCATTATCCCCTTTTCTATTCAACTTCATCATAGATGTACTAATGGACTTAACCCTAAGTGAGTTCAGCGACTCAGGGATTGACTTGCTACCAGGGAATAATCTCGTTGACTTAGAATATGCAGACAATAAAGTCCTTCTACGCGAGGACGCTGACAAAATACAGCAGTCTTCTAAACACCTTGAGCTGCAACCCACGAATGTTTGGCATGCGATTCGCTCCCGCCAAATGCAAGATGATGTTACAGGACTGGACTACACTGACTACTAGTTTAGAAATAGGAAGTGAAGTGGTAGAGCACGTTGACCGCTTCACTTATTTAAGAAGTACCATCAGCCAGTGCTAACGGGTTGATCTCTGACGAAACCTCAGGACGGATACAGAGGGCTTGTTTCGCATTTGCCAGTTTACGCCGTCTCTGGCGCAAACGTGATATCCGACTGGCTATCGACCAAAGGGTGGGTGTACTGCTCATCAGTTCACTCCGTCCTGCTTTATGGCTGTGAGAAATGGCCATTGAGAGTGGAAGACATGAAAAGATTAGCCGTCTTTGATCATAGGTGCCTGTCTGCGTTCTATCCCCCGTGTGAAGTGGTATAATAAGGTGAGCAATATTGAGGTTAGGCGTCCGTCCAGTGCTAGGTAAGCTGGGGGAAATCAATCGACGAAGTTGTGAAGTTACAAAGACTGAGATGGTTAGGACATGTGTTACGTATGCCTAGCCTAGTCATCGCCTTCCTCGACTGATGGGCAATGTTAGCTGACATAGGGTCAGGCTGGAAAAGAGCTAGCGGCGGTCAAACAAAAACATGGCCTCACCAGTCAATGAAATCTACAACAGTTAGTCTAAGCCAGCCACGTAGGAAGGTGTAGACTTCCTGACTGGTTGGGGTCCTCAGGACGGTAAGCACCAATGGTTGGAAACAATTGGTGATATGGCTCAAAATCGTTCTTGATGGCCGGCGCAAATGCATCCACTCCCTGTGACTTATGATTTCCAATTAAAATGTTTTGTTCTTCGTTATTACTTTGTCTCCTTTGTCTCACACCTCTGTTTACTGTCTCTATTATGGTTTTCTTGTACTTTCTTCTGTTACTTTGTGTGCTACAAGGAGTGGAGTGTGGTGACTTGAACTTCCGCACATATGTGCAAAGTTCTACGTTGAAAACAGACAGAAAGGAATAAATATGAAATGTTGTTCAACAAGCACTTAGATTTACATGCCTTTGACAATGAATCACACCTGGCTGTCCAAGCCGCAGTAGGTGTAACGCTATTTGAACTAATGACAAATGTCAACTGAAGAACACAGCGTTAAAAAGTCAACACAATGGTGGTTAAAGGTCAAACTAGGCACAACTATAGTAGACTAATTAAGAGGAAAAGAATAAATTTGACAAACGGATGTCTTTAAACTCAGACAAAAAATTATTAAAGAAATATTTTGACTTTTCATCCTCGTATAGAACAGCACGTAAGACAATGTTTAGACTCATGTGAAAAGTTCTACTCAGCTCAAGAGGTATGCTTAACATTTAGTTATGAAAACAATTTAAGACCATTGACCAGGGTAAATTTTCTGTATAGTATACTCTTCCTATCCAAAGAGGTGACTGTACAGAAATTTACATGACAATAAGGAGCTGTACTGTCTTTTGCTGTTAAATCTTCGATATCATCTATCAGTGAGAAATTAGTGGACATCTTCCAGGATGTGTCCCGACAGAAGGCAAGAGTCAGGCAACAGATCGTTTATTGAGAAAATCAACAGATATTTATAGATTTTTATGTAAATTAATACAGGTTATTGTTAGCAGAGAAACAGCGTCTTCTGATTGGTTGTTCTCCCAGTGAAAGTTAATCTATCCTATCTTTGTGTTCATATTATATTTATGTGAATCGTATCTGCCCACACAGTCTTTCCTGACTGGTTGTTGACTTGGTCTTTGTTCTTGTACTTTTCTTATGACCAAGATTTGCAACGTCAACATTGACGTAAATAGCTGTCTACCAATTTAGCTAGCAGATAGCTCGTACCACACATATACACCTCAGAAAGTGAAAACTGTACACTGAATATCGGTGTTGTCAAGACTGAAATGAATGCATGAATTGTTTAACATGTAGTGAGTGATTCACAGACGATGAAGTCAACAATTCAGTTAAATGTGTCACAGAAGAGAAATTTAATAGATATGGGATGTTTGGAGTCAATCAAGCAACAAACAAACCATTACGTGGGATTTAGCTGGTTATGTACAGAGAAGATCCGATTCGATCAAAGTTTGCGGAAATCTAGAACTTCAGCAATGTGGTAGAATGCAATTCTATATTAGAAAAAACTTATTTTAATAATCACACAGTGATGCAATATTACCAACTGGATGACGCATAAATTACCGCTCATAATCATATCAATTTTCGTCATACGGTTTCACAGTTTTTCTTATACATATTTTCTCTCTATTCTGTCGCTCCAATTTCCCTTTGTTGTTTGTTGCCACTTTCCATGCTTCCAGTATAAGCGTTGTGTCATTCCAATTGCACGTCTGCGGTGTTGAATCGATAAACAAAGCTTCAGTGATTAACCCGTCTCTCCACCTAACTATATTACTTTTTAATAAGCTAGATACACCAGGAAGATACCCGACTGTGCAATCAGAATAACACAACACCTATACTGAAGACATGTGTGTCGGTGGCACAGCGGTTAGGACGCTCACCGACCAAACACACGGTCCGAGGTTCGATCCCCGGTCACCGACGAACTCCTTTACCTTGCTAGGCCAGAAATAAAGCTGGTAAAGAGGAAAGGTTGGACATGAGGGTAGCAATCCCATCCTGTAAAAATAAACAGTGCTACAGAAACTTCAAGTCTCTAGCTTGAAGCCCTATGTTCCACTGGGAACGTAAAGGGAAAAAAATATGAAATTTATATACTTTGTCTGCTGAATATTTTCATCAGGCTCGTCTATTATTTAGTCACTGAAAAGTAGTCGATTTCGATGAATAAATTTTATATATATATATATATATATATATATATATATATATATATATATATATATATATAGAGAGAGAGAGAGAGAGAGAGAGAGAGAGAGAGAGAGTCGAAAGTAAATGATCACAACACTTACCCGAATTTAGCATTAGTAAAACAGGATTCGATGGACTTCCAGAGAAAACACTGCTACCATCACTATTGACGCTAGTAGGCGTAACAGTAGGTATTGTAGTTTTCCGCGTCACCGTGGGAGGTTTATTCATAAAAACAGGAGGACGTCTTGCAATACAGTTGGGTTCTAGCTTTTCACAAACAGTTTTACAAATTATTCTATCTTGTGATTTTGAACGAGTTTGCAACCAAGGTAGATTTTCGCAAGCATATAACTTAAACTGAGATTCTGTTGTTGTATTACAGTTGAGTGGATTGGAAATCCCTCCAGTGGATGAAACAGACTCTTTTTTAGAGGTGTATAGAGGAAGTGATACGGAAGAGTTATGAAGAGTATTAATTTTGGAACATGACAACGGAGATGAAGACAATGATGATGAGGATGAAGAGGAGGTAGAAGATGATGATGAAGGACAGAGAACTGGACACGGAGTTGCCGATGAAGTAATAACTGTGGTAGATGTTGCTATCGCCTCAGTAGTGATAGTACTGGTGAGATTACCAGAATCTAAAAAAACGGTATCATTTCCGCAATCGTTAGAATTCATAATCCAGCTATCATCAGGTCGAAGACGTGATGTACGATATGATGACCGTGTTGAGTGAGAGCGTTCTGGAAGAATCACAACATTATTTGTTGTAGTACGACTATCCGTTGTCACAAGTAGGTCAGCATAGGAAGATTTCCTCCGTTCAATATGCCGCATTTTTACATCTGAAATACTAGGATTTCGTTTACATAAATCTTCGCCAACTGGAAATTCTGTATTAACACTACTATATAGATTTGGATTCGGCGGTGCACTGGACACATCTGAATTTGTTACTACTACACGAGGAAGGTGAACTGGTGAAGTGGAAGATGTATTCATACCATTATTGTTATTGTTACTACCAGAAGTATTAGTAGTACATGTGTTGAAAGCATTTACAGATTTACTTCTTTCCCATTTTATTGGCGGGATACATGATGACTCACATGGTGCTGAGATTTTTTCCTTCGCGTTTTGATTCAAAGATGCAGAGAATAAGTTCAAATCTAAACAAATTGGTAAAAAAAAAGAAACAATCTTTTAACGAACAATAAATGTTGCATAACATTTTGAGGATCAATAAGCCGAAGAATAGTTTAACCTCTAGGATAGACAGTAATTATTTCTAATAATGTAAAAGCAATTAGAACACACGAAGACTTGCAGAGGAAGACCAAAAAACAGGCAGACAAGACTCCAGGTAAACACAGAGAAAATGGAGGTGATAAAGATAACCAACGAACCACCAATCACCATCAACGGGGGAGATTCAACAGAGGTTCCCTCCTTTACTTATCTGTCTGTCTGTCTGTTTTTGACATAGAACTTTGCACCGATGTGCAGCAGTTCAAGTCGCCACACTCCATGTAGCACACAAAGCAACAGAAGAAAGTAGGAGAAATGCATAATAGATACAGTAGACATGGGAAGCATAGTCTCAATTACAGGCGGAACGGACGAAGATGTCAGAATCGGAAAAGCAAGATACGCCTTCACCAACCTGAAACCAGTTTGGAAATCTTCCACACTCAGCATAAGGAACAAGATTTGCATTTTCAACACCAATGTAAGGTCCGTTTCCCTATTCGGGTTAGAAACTTGGCTAGCGTGTCACGAAAAGGATTTCAAACAGGTTGCAGGCTTTCATCAACATCTGCCTTCGCTCCATACTGAAGATCAAATGGCCAAAAAGAATAAGTAACAAGAAATTATGGGAGTAAACCAACCAAGAGCCTATCGCTCAACAAATATGTAGGAGAAAGCAGAGATGGGTCGGGCATTCATTGAGGAGGACACCGAATGACATCGCACGCCAGGCCCTCGAGTGGAATCTAAATGGGAAGCGACGTGTGGGTCGTCCTAGGGTGACATGGAGGAGATCGTGTGGACAAGAGATGAGAGAGTTTGGTCAATCGTGGACTCAGTTGAAGAGGACTGCAGAAAGCAGAACCAAATGGAGATTTGTTGTTGAAGCCCTATGTTCCACTCGGAACGCAAGGGAATTGTAATATATAATAATAAGAAGAACACTGTTCATTTGTAGCTTGATTCTAATTATTCTCTTCTAAAGTCCACTTAGAAAGTACGCTAAACCCTAACGGTTATCAGAGTAAATATCAGAATATGTACAAGACTTTATAATTGCTCTTGTATCATCATTAGAAAACAAAAATCAAAAGCAATAATAGTAATCATCTATAACCGGGTGGCAGTTATTTGTTTTTAGTTATAGTGGGTTGAGCCTAGAATTCAGAAAGCATTAGGACCACCTTGACTCATTCACTGGAATGTGGAAGCTGTTAGCACAGAATACAAAACACACTTAGAACAACATACTCACTCAGGAGATGCAAGGAATTCCTCGACTCATGAGTTTCCATGGTATCGTGTTTATAAGCTAAGATGATAGCAGAAAGCGATGATTGGTGTGCTTTAAAATGAATCACATTTTATTTATAAGTTGTCATTATCACAACTGTAATATCGTCTCATATGATTAACGTGATCAGTTTTATGTGCCATTTTTCAGTTTCGCTAGCTTTCTTGAATACCCTCTATGGCATCAGAGAGATTATTGTTGGATTGTTAATCAAGTGTCGTTAGTCTGTGTGTGGATTTGAATCCTATCCATATAGCTAAAATATTTTTTCCCTTCACCTTCCCAGTGAAACATAGATGCTTGAAGTTTCTGTAGCAGTGTTTATTTTACAGGATGGGGTTGCTAGCCTCCTGACAAACCTTTCCTCTTTACCAACATTATTTCTGGCTTAGCGAGGTAAAGGAATGCGTCGGTGGCCTGGGATCGAACCACAGATCATGTGCATGGTCGGCGAACATCCTAACCACTATACCACCGACGCACAGCTAAAATGTTATAACAGTGATAATACAGATAGAACACTGGATTAGAGGATTCTTTCTGCTGTTACCACAACACAAGAACAATGTATGTCTGGTTATTAAGACTACTATTCCCCCACATAGAGAAGATACAGACGAATGACTGAAAAAACAAGATTTGTTTCTATATGAAACAAAAACCAAAATTACAGAGTTCTGCTGTAATGGTGTGGTGAGAGCAGGCTGATTAATAATTGAGGCTAAACGTAGGATGCTATATAAGGAGGGCAAGTCAGTCAACTAGGTTGTGAAGCCTCATCGATTGAGATGGATAGAAGTATTGTGCATGTCGAGCCGCAGCGTTCCTCAACGAGCTATGTTAGCTGACATAAGGTCAAGATCTGGCGTCAACTCATAAGATCTTTGACTATTGACTGGGGTCATTCACTCGGGGGAAGGGGCAGAAAGTCTGGCTGAGGTCGTCAAGTTGCTAACATCCAATGGTTTGAGACTGTTGATGACGTGGTTTTAAAGTCATTCAATGCATTGACTCTTTATGAACTCCTAGATCCATCAAATTCTCGTTATTTCCAAAATACTTATTCTTTCTGCCGCGTATTATACTTACTTACTGTGTGTAAACAATGTATTGAAATACAACTTTTCTATTGGTATTGTCATTATTATTATTATTATTATGTTTTCTCTTCTCGGTTTTAATTTACAGGGTCAATCAATAAGAAATAGTTAGATCGCAATTTTACAAATCAATTTGTAAATTGGTTAGGCTACAACCAGAACAAAATGTAAAGTGACTTATTCAAATGTTATAAGTTATACAGTCTATCTGTGTTATTGTTCTTTCTTTTGTTTCTTTTTTTTTCTATTTAAAAAACGAATGTAACAACCATATAAGCGAGAGTAAATTCGAAAATTAAAATATAAAACGTACACACACATGCACATATACATATATAGGTATACTGAATAGTTCAGTCTGTAACAACATGTTCAATGAATCTAATAATGTAATTAGAATTTTAACGTTAAGTCAAATATCGATGAAAACTTGTGGTTAGACTGAAAATACAACTTATTTCTAGTGGTATGACAATAATAAATGAGACGGGTTAGGGAGTGACGGGTGACACGATCAGTTCACTATAGATACGGTTAAAAGTAATGAAAGATAATTTCATATCATACTGTTATGTATGAGCAGTGATAACGGTGTAACAGTGATTCCTTTTTAGGTTGTCTTTATAGAACATATACTTTTCTTCTACCAATCCATGTGTTCCCACTGGGGAACATAAGGTTTCAAGCTAGAGGCTTGAAGTTTCGGTAGAAGTGGTGCTTATTTTTAAGGGGTGCGGTTTCTAGCCTCATGCGCCGCCACCCCCCTACTTACCAGTCTTAATTACTGGCCTAGCGAGGTATAGAAAAACGCGTTGACCGGGGATAGAACCCCGAACTGCATGCATAGTCGGCGAGTATTCTAGCGGTGTGTGCCACCGACGCACTCGTAGTGCCTTATCTCAGGTCTAATCTTCCGTCTTTTTCAGGCTTACTACTAGCTAGTGAACTAAGTGAGGCTTATGGGTGAGTTGGTTGGGAATAAAACTCAGACTGTTGGGGCTGATTGACAAGCTTTCTACCTACCGTTGAGAACAACTGAAAGTTCGAAGAATTCATTCTAGGCACTTTAATCAGTTCTCCGACAAGACTAGTACTACTACTAATACAAGTGCATATGGTATTTGCAAGACACTGATCAACCCGTATAGCAAGCAAATGTTACACAAGAAAAAGGGGAAAACAAACGCGGAATCCAATACGAAACTTAAACAAAGTATGAAAAATTTAAACAAACTAGATTTATTAGTGAATGTTAAATTAACAAAATAGAAAAGTATTGAAATGCAGAAAAAGAGTGATTTAAAAAACGAATGTATTCTCTTCAGTGTAATTTTTATTTTTAGCCTTACTACTCACTCTATGAGTTTCCACATATTTATTTCATTTCTTTCGCAAATTTCAACTCATAAGATGAGTTAAGAGTAGTTAGACTAAAATGTCAAGCGTATTGTTAGGTAGGCAGGTTAATATCAATTGACGAGATTTTGAAGCTGAATAGTTTGAGATAGCTACTATGCTTGCCAAGTTATTACCTTCTACGTTGTTCAGTATCAGTGGGAACAAGAGTAAACTGGGAGAGTTAGAGGTGACTAAACCAAAACATGGCATAAATCCATGAAGGCTTTGACGGTTGGTTTGAACCAGATATGAGGGTGTAAACAGCTGGGTTGAAATTCTCGAGTGGGACTCAGATCGTTAATGATACTACTCAAAAGTGTTGTCAGCGGCTGACAAATACTCATTCTCAGTGATCTCCTAAATTCACTTCGCCCTCATTGCTCTCCATTTAATGACTCTTTCTCTAGCATGTTGTTGTCTGTTATAGTTTCTCTACATTTTCTCTTTTCTGCTAACTTTATCTCTGTTGCCAAATTGAAGTTCTACAATTTTGTGTGTAGTGAATCAGTGGCACAGCGGTAGAATGCTCGCCAACCACTCCCCACATGTGGTCTGGGATTCGATCCCCGGCCAACTCAATTCTTTACCTCGCTAAACCAGAATAAGGCTAGCAACTCTATCCAGTAAAAATAAAGTACTGCTGCTACCGAAACTTCAGGCCGCCAGTTTGAAGTTCTATGCTCCACTGGGAACGTAAAGAAATAAAAACGTCTAAGTTGACATATTCAATTCAGTTCAATAAGGCTACATTTTTCTACATGATTCACACAAAGGTTGTTGAACTTTACATATCAATGGTATGTTCTGGAGACATTTTCATTCTGTAGCTAAGCCAGTTAGTGCAGTCAGTTAAACACACAAATTTATCGAACGACTTAATTTTTTTTCTTTAGAGCTTGACTCCTAACATTATTAATAATCTCATATATTCATAACCAGATCAATGAATAACGACTATCATTTTGACCGGTAAATGCGTCGGTATTATTTTTATGATCCTACATATTTTTTCATGAGACTCTATTATAAACAAAAATTTCAACGTGATCATCATGTGAAAACATACTATTGGACAGTTTTTAGTATCTTGTGTAGTCGATAGGAAGTTATGAAAGTAATACTGATATGTTTGATTTTATGTACACTACTATTACAGTTCAGATAACGATTTTACCGATGACTATATCAGAATGTATTGGTAGATCTGCTTCTGACTTCTTAATATGGAATTAAGTAGAATACAGTGCCGCCAAGTGTTGCTCTGAAGGGATTTGATTGATTTGAACTGAAGTCAGTTCAATTAAACCCCTGGAAAAAAATATGACATGTGCTACATAGATGCAGATTGATAGGAAGCGGACAAAAATTAAAATCAACATTTTAAGTCAATGACTGTCAGGGTAGATTCAGTTTGCGTTGTGGTCTGGAAATTAACTCACTGGGCAACTTTCCATCCTTCAGTATCACCTTGAGCCAATCGATAACCAATCAGAACAGTTTATTGTCCGCTGACCTGGCCAACCTCTAATGTAGTGAAAAATGTATAAATGTGAAGAGCTTTTCTTCAATAAAAAAGTTCTTTATTACTTCTCTCATCTTCTGCGGTTACACCAATCCTTGAAAATTAATTTAGTGCTCACTACTGATTGACTCCATGATGAAATTGACTGAAGTTCTAGTGAAAAGTTGTGTCCCGCGGGATCCACCTGGTTTGGTGTGAAGAAAAATACTCGCCAATAACATTGGCTGGCGATTGTGCTGTTTATCGTAAATCAGCAGAAGACACAAATTCGTGCACCACTGAATTTCGTCCCAGTGGCTTAACGATCAACGGGCTTGCCCTGCAGCTTGGTGGGATCATGGATGAGTACTGTCAAAGATACCCAAACTAGGACGAAATAGTTGTCTAGTATTCGCTGATTTTTAATGGTCCTCTAACTGATGTCAGTTTGTGATCCAACTTGAAAACACAACAGTGCATTAAATCACTTTTCATCATAAGGTTAGTATACAGAATCAAAATGAATGCAATGAGGAGTGGAAATCAGCTAAAAGATTGTATTACATGTAAAGGGTCTTACTTTGTGTGCGTGTGAGGACTAGCGGTTCTACTTGACTATCTTAACATCGTTATGTAGAAGAAATCTACAGTTCATTATCTACAGTCACAAAATCATGCATTAAGAAAAGCTTCAAAAACACACAATACAACTGTAAGCTAATGTTCACACTTTTATTAGTGGATTGCAGAATCTAGACTATTCAAGTCAAAAACCGAAAAAAAACTCATCTTTGACAGGATCCTCAGGAAATGTATAAGATTTAGACTACATTTTCCCTCGCCTTCTCAATCATGAAAAGAAACCTTAGAAATGTGGTATATTTGATCAGGAAGCTTATTTAGCTTTTTGACCTAAACATTCAGATAGTAGAAGAGCTTACAAATCAAATATGCCTTATAACTCAGTACAATAACCCGGTGTATTGGATAACTAACTACCTGAGTTGCATGACTGAATTTCAGGAATAAACACATAAAAACAGCACATACACAAAAAATACCTCACACTGCATTACAACAACCAGGGATAATATTGAAAGCATTTCACTCACCAGATAATTTAGATACCATACGCAAAACATGAGATAGTCGTTTAGGGACGATGTTTTTCGAGATTTCTTCCACATTGTCATTGTTTTTGTTATTGCTACTATTATCCAGTTCTTGTTCTAGTCCCGACTCATCTATTGTTTCTTCTTCAGATAAGACTGTTCCCTGTGAAATTGGGAAACAGGTTACTAATGGAATATTCATCGGTTTACAAGGGATTATAGACGACTTTGCATTTTGTTCTAGAGGAGGTGTAGCTCTTAATTCATTCGCGTAATCCCAAGCGATTGGTGTAGTTGACAAAAGGTTAGCATAATTTAACTGATTAATTTGTAGTAATTGAGATGGTGAAGTTGGAGTGATAGAAGAAGAACAAGAACAAGAGTTGGGTGATACTGACAAAGATGCATTTTTGTGTGAATTAGAATAATTAGAATTAAAATTGAAAAATAACCGTTGTCTATCAAAACAGTCAATATTTTCAAAAACATCTGGATGCCAGTGACGTAGACAATGAGAATTTTTTGCAACAATTGTACTATTAGAAATACCTGAAATATAAAGGAAAGCAAAGAGGAAAAAGTGAGAAATATGCAAGAAATTTTTAAGAAAAAAACAAAACAACAACATCTAATAGAGAAAAAAAGCTGAAGGCATGTATTAAAATGAAATAAGAGCAATAAACAAATTCCAATGTTTCAATTATGATAATTAACTTTATAGTTAATAGATAACAGAATTTATGGAACTCATTCATTTGCATTCAAGATTAAATCATTTTCTATAGTTTTTTTGGTTTTGTAAGGGTTAGATATGTTTTTACGAGTTGATCACGGATTGATATATCAGTTAGCACTCCCTGGTTTTCAATGCTGCTCTAACTGATATATCAATCCGTGATCAACTCGTAAAAACATATCTAACCCTTAAAACACCAAACTATAGAAAATTAACCTGATGCTCCCTAGTGACTTGTTACAACAGGATGGAGTTTCCTGGAGTTCTAGTGAGAAGTTGTGACCATTAAGGTCCGATTAGATGTCACATGTGAGGATGGATGTCCCACCAACGACAATGGTTGGGGTCGCGCTAAATCACGAATTGGTAGAAGTTAGAATTCATGCACTGATTGGCCATTGAATCGGGTTCCAGTGGCTGAATGGTATACGAGCCAGTTTGCCTTGTAACCGGAAGGTCCTGGGTTCGAACCATGGTGGTGGGTGCGTACTTCCGATGATTCCCAAACTAGGATGAAACAGCAGGCGTCCAGTACTCCCTGCTTGTTATCAATGGTTCTCTAACTGATGATCAATCCGTGATCAACTCGTAAAAAGATTAAATCACAGTTTAATTTATTTGTATGTTTTAATTAGAAGACAAATTTCACACATAATATGAACTCAAAAAGTATGTTCTAGTCAAAACAACACGATACAAGAAAGACAAAAAAAGAAGACAGTTATATGATAACCGAATGATCAGATGAGCAATCTTGTCGTGAGCTAGATGTATTCTAAGAGTATTCCAATTAATTTGGATTGATTTCGTCAATCGGAGTAAACGCCTCTTGGATCAAATAATTACCCCCAAAGCCTTTAAAAAAAAAGATGTTTAAAATGTGAAGATAAGAATGAATTGAAATGTGTTGCCAAGGCACTTGGGTTAGTACACTGATGATTTCTTACCGCAAAAAGAAACATTCTTAACAATCATGATATAACAGTGTATCCTCGTGCAACGAGCACCTTAGGCTCATCAGTGATGAGATAAACGAAGACAACCAACAGAATTGTGTACCAGATCAACTGTTAGGATTGTGATGCTGTATATGTGGGACAAACTTCTACAGACAGGTAAATATAAAAGTGAAGGAGCATAAACACTGTCTAAAGGTGGTTCCAGAGACATCGATCATATGTGTCGATAGGAAGTTATGAAAGTAATACTGATATGTTTGATTTTATGTACACTACTATTACAGTTCAGATAACGATTTTACCGACGACTATATCGGAATATATTGGTAGATCTGCTTCTGACTTCTTAATATGGAATTAAGTAGAATACAGTGCCGCCAAGTGTTGCTCTGAAGGGATTTGATTGATTTGAACTGAAGTCAGTTCAATTAAACCCCTGGAAAAAAATGTGACATGTGCTACATAGATGCAGATTGATAGGAAGCGGACAAAAATTAAAATCAACATTTTAAGTCAATGACTGTCAGGGTAGATTCAGTTTGCGTTGTGGTCTGGAAATTGACTCACTGGGCAACTCTCCATCCTTCATTCGCTCATTTCCAGAGATCCCACCCTGTTGCTGATCTATTCTGGCCAGCCATCTTATCTTGAGCGAAGACAACTGTTAATGAAGGTCTGTAGTTTGTTTGAGATGCTCTTTATGACGCGCAGTGCAAGTCTCTGATCCATATAGTAGCACTGACTGAGTTTTCATTGGAGTTGAAAATCAGGATGTTATTTTTGATGCTGAGTGATGTTGACTTCCACACAGACTTAAGAGTCATGAAAGCTTGTCTTGCTTTTCCGATCCTCGCCTCTTTGATATCCTCGTCAGTTCCGTCGGCCTGTAGTTGAAACGATACTTCCCAGGAAGGTAGGTAGGTAGGTAGAGGAGGTTGTTTCTTTCAGGTTCCTCCAATTTATGCTGATTGATGTCTGTTGTTATTGCTGTGGCTGCTGCTGTTGGCCAGGAATCTTCATCACCTCTGTTTTATCTATGCTTACTTGAAGTCCTATCTTCTCTGGATGCTTTTTCTGCCAGCTTGTTGCTTTTCACTTGCATATCTTCCAGTTTGTGGGAAATCAGACATATATCATCGTCGAAGTTCAGATCCTTCGAGTATTTTGTATGAGTCCATTTTATGCCTGTTTCCTCATTGCCCACCAATGTCTGTCGCATTATCCAATCTACTGCAATCAGGAAAATCATTGGCGATAATAGACAATAATAATAATAAATCGACCAACCCGAATTCTTACCTTTCTCATTATCATCAAAATCCCACAAGATAACTGGTCTATTCATTGATGTTGATGAGGATATAGCGGTATCACAGCAGGCTGATAATGTCATTGACATGTGATTCTGTTGCTCTTGTTCACCATTTGGCATCGTATTCAAAGAATTACAAAACGGGATGTTATTACTACTAGTAGTAGCAGTAGTCATAGTATTAGTAACTGTAATCGATGGAATACTTAGACGCTTGAATGCAAATAATTCTTTTTCTAAATCAACCGCTCCATTACGAGTTACTTCATTTTTGACTGTGCTATTGGATGAACTATCATTACCAGTGGCTGATGGTGATAATGGAGGTAGTGATGATGAAGCATTTACTGGTACATTCCCGTCTATAGCTGTACTAGCAGTATTTCCACTTTGTTCAAATTCTTCATGGGTTGGAGAATTTTCAATTACGTCATCATTACGGTGATTTTGATGATTATCGCCAGGATTATTTGACAAGATACTGGTCACATTACTGTTCTGTTGACTAATATTCGTACTGTTTGTTGATGTGCTCCCCAGGGGTGATGACATTTTATTTGGTTTATTTTGATCATTGTGAAAAATTGGTTTGTGTCGGTTAGAACTACACAAAAAATAAAAAATATAAACCAAAATTGCACTATCAGTTATAAAGGAAACATAACTTCTTAGTTTGAGTACTCAGCCAGGGAAAATCATAAGTTTCAAATCAGCTATGAGTAAACAGATACTGTTGTTCATCAATAATCACATGACAAGTATGACTCATTGTCAAGTGGTTGTGAAGTTGCACTTTTTTGTGCTTGCATAACACCAGAACAGATAAGTAAACAAATTGCTATGCAACTTTAAAAGTAAAAAAAAACAGTGTGGTGTTGTAGTGAAACCAAACCCTATATAATAGACACTAATCAATGTTTTATTTTCTTTCCTTGCAGGAAGATACTTGGGGGTCGACTATATGGACCAAGAGATACAACAACTAAAAAGTCTAAACACTAACGAAGACAAGAAAGACTGTTAGACTGGACCCCTGCACTTTTTAAAATTGATTCTTGTGGAATAAATGTTCTCTGCATAGCTTATGTTCTGCTTTTATTATCTGTGTGTCTGTTGCTCTGCTTGTTGAAATGTTACTGGTTTAAGAATGAGAATGTCAATGAATACACTTGATCTAGATAAGCGGATAATGTCATAAACCTCAATACAGTGAAGGACTCATAGTCAAGTGTACAGGCTTGTTACCGCCAATTAGATATTTGCTTCACATTTCTGTGTGTAGTCTTAAAGAGTAAGTAATGAATCAGATTGAACAATATACATTTGTTTAGTCCTTTATCTCTAAGGTATTAATAGTTACTTGGCGGTTATTTTAAAATGAAGTAATAAACTGACAGAAAATGGTTAATGATATTGATTTAATTATTGAATTGAATTTTAGATTTTCCCGTCGATTGATTGGACCGAAGTGCTCGGTCTCTGGTTGACATGTCGGCTTTTTGTGCAGATACTTCGACGATGTCTGGGCATTTAATTAGTATACAATTTATGGGTGGATTGGCGTTTGAAACTATGGGCACTGGGTTCGAGCCTCGGTGAGAACATCATCATCACTCAGTGAGAAATGCAGGTACATCCAGATGACGAGTCCCAAATAGGACGAAATGCGCATCCTGGATTCCACTGCTAGCCACCATCCATCAGTTGGATATTGATTTAAATTCAACCACAGACACACTGACTCATCACCTTCACTTAACAGCATATTATTGTACCGTTTATGTCTTCCGTTGATTAATTCTCATCTTTATTTGTGAACCCGATGACAGTTTCAATGAACATGAACTATGGCTTGTCTATTCGGCATTAAGGCTTTCCGTGTTACTATTAAAACAACAAACAACAATCATTACTTTCTTTCCTCTCTCTACCTGATACGGAAAAGGAAATTAAACTATGCTAAAGATGATTAATACGCAGAACATATTAATCTATAGTGATACTTATTAACAGTATTGAAGAGAATTCAATAAACAATCCGTAAACAAAGAAAGAAGAAACATTGGCGCAGAATAATCTGGATCCATTTTATTTCGTTGGTTCTCGAAAGATCTGTATATCGTAATGACACATGGAGTGGTCTTTACTTGAATTTCAACAGCTTCTGCCCAATGAGATACAAACGAACGCTGGTGAAAACGCTTTTCTCTAGAGCGAAGAGACTATGTTCACCAGAAAAACTAGACAGTGAACTAATACTTCTTGAAAAATGCTTGAAAGAAAATGGTTACCCACAAAGTTTCATTAACAAATGTGGCAAGAATGAACTCAAGAAGCTTGATACAGCTACAGTCAGTAAGAAGCCTATTTTCATCAAACTTGACTATAAGGGCGACGACATTATGAGAATGGTTAATAAAATATTAAGCGCAGCCCTGTCTAGGACGTATCCTTCAGCGTTATTAGTCTCTCTATCCTGAACAACCTCTTCACTGGTACAGTCAAAGATTGACAAGTACCCCTCACATGTTACCTCCAACTGTGTATACCAATTCACATGTATCTGCGGGAGCAGTTACATTGGGAGAACAGAGAGGAGGGCCTACGTCAGATTCTGCGAACATGTACCAAGGAGCCTCTGGTTAAAAGGACCGAATTGTTTAACCTCTTCAATCGCCAAACACCTGATTGACACAGGACACCGAGTAGATGTGCTGGAATCATTCAAAATAATTAACAGACAAAGTACCTCAAGTCTTCTCAGGTTTGCTGAAGCTATAGCAAAAAAACGATTGAAGCCTGATTTATGTGTTCAAAAAGAACCCGTTGTTGGACTTCAATTACCCTGGTGACTCACATCTTAGTAACTCTTTGTTTTCTAATTTTGTTAGCTTATCTTTTCATTCCACCCCCCTCCCTTTATTTTTCGCTTGACTCTCTCTCTTAAGAGATAATTTTTCTTGATCTTCTGAGTTCTGCTCACTCTACTTCTCATCTGACCTCATGTGCACCGAAATTGTAAAATTTTGATCTTCTCTTATCTAATTACGTAACTATTGCTAATTTTCTATTGTTTCCACCACAACAACACAACAGTTAGTAAAATTTTTTTCAAGAAACCTCTCTCTACCAATATATATATATATATATGTTGTAACACCTCAGACACCCTGTAAATCTCAACGCCTTATTTTACTATGACGCCCTGACAGTATGCTTGCTAATGGACAAAGGTTTGTTAAAATTGTACATTTTTTATTGTTATTAAAAAAGATTCAGATTGTACGCAGTTGATGAGAACCAACGAAATAAAATAAATCCAGATTATTCTGCGCCAAAGTTTTTTCTTTCTTTGTTCAAATTTATAAAAGGGAATAATTGTATAAAATCCGTAAACATTTGACTAAGCACTCAACCAAGCGAATGATGAAATGTACAATGTGATCGGAACAATCATCTATGGTCATAGAATACGACTATAAATAAGAGTGAAATAAATTCAACATTACAAAATGACTAAACGTGCAGTGTAGTGTGATAATAACATGACAATAATATCTAACCGACATGCGATTGAGGTTCAGGGGTAGGATACCTACAGACCGGGATAGGATTGCTGACAGACAAACACTCTTACACCTCGTCTAACCGATAGTAAGCTTGGAAAAGAGGGCAGGTTGAGCGTCAGACAACACAATCGCTACTCAAACTTCAAAAGTCTAGAGCCGTTTGTTCCACTCGGAACGCAAACAAATACTTACACGTCAACACGAATGTATTTTTTTTCCTTCACGTTCCCTGTGGAACATAGGACTTCAAGCTAGTGGCTTGGAGTTTCTGTACCAGTGTTGAATTTTTCAGGATGGGGTTACTAGCCTCATGGCCAACCTTTCCTCTTTACTAGCTTTATTTCTAGCCTAGCGAGGTAAAGGAGTGCGTCGGTGGCCGGGGATCAAACCCCGGATCATGTGCATGGTCGGCGAGCGTCCTAACCGCGAATGTATCATGAAGGCAAATAACCACATAGAGAACACTGTTATTAACAATGACTGTAAATATTTGCAGTGTTGTTATTATTACTACCAGAGACTGGTTGCATAGTTAACTGGGATTTTTTCAGTAATTGATTGGCAACCGTAATTGAAAGCGTCGAAGAACCATTGACTGTGGTCACGTGAAGGTAAGAATTACAGCCAAACGATTGAGTACAGCTTAATAAGATTATATTCCCCTACTTCTTTGTGTAATATAACAGAGCTTTTCTTTTCTAAATTGAATTTATCAGAGGACACTATTGCATATATATATATATATATATATAATGCATAATAAGGTAAACTGATGGTCTTTTTTAAGTGCATTTTATTGATTATCTTAATCATAAAGAGTGTATCACTTATCTAGTTTATCTCAATTGGATTTTAATTCTAATCTATATGATATTTCGTCTTATTAAAAGGATTAAAGAAGGATTTTTATAACATATAATTAGGAGAATGTAATATCCTTTAATTTAAAACCAGTGACGATATTCTACCTCATTTGTTCAAATACTTACTTCCTATTTTTATGAATGTTCGTAGATCTTAGAAGGCGCTAAAATACTGAAAGCTAATACACTATTACTTATTCTCCTATGTGTATAATGTTAACATTTCAACCTCTGGTCAAGATTTGACCGAACAGCTTCACAAACAAATCGGGCACCAAGTAAGAAGTAGACACAGGTAAGAAGTGTATCTGTATGAACCACAGTGAAATTGAAATAAATGATTCCAATGTTTTTACGAGTTGATCACGGATTGATATCAGCTAGAGAACCATTGAAAACCAGGGAGTACTGGACAGCTGCTGTTTCATCCTAGTCTTAGGAATCATCGGCAGTACGCACCTACTGGGGTTCAAACCCAGGACCCATGAGCCATTGAATTGGGTCCCAGTGGCTGAATGGTATACGAGCCAGCTTGCCTTGTAACCGGAAGGTCCTGGATTGGAATCCCATTGGGTGCGTACTGCCGATGATTCCTAAGACTAGGATGAAACAGCAGCTGTCCAGTACTCCCTGCTTGTTTTCAATGGTTCTCTAGCTGATATCAATCCATGATCAACTCGTAAAAACAAAACCAACCCTTACAAACCAAACTGTAGAAAATTAATCCCAATGTATTTGAAAAGTGAATATAAAAATGCAACAAAGCCTTCTGTTGAGAATTGGCTTAATATTGTGGTCATTCCTTATCGCATGGAAGCGCCAAATAAATATAGACAATCCTCAACAACCATGATAAAGAATTTATTTCCGCGCAACGAAAACCTTACACTCGGAACTGCCAAGTATTAAGGATATAATAGAAGTTTATAAATCACCTACACTCAGCATAATCAAAAAAGATTCCGATTTTTCAACACTAATGTCAAGCCAGTTCTTTTGGATGGATCATAAACTTGGTGCAGATGTCACCAAAAGTATTTCGAACAGACTGAAGACTTTTTATAACAGCTGCCTTAACTCCATAACAAAGATTATCTCCACCAGGCAGATTCTTGAGTGGAACCTCAATAGGAAGAGACAGATGGTGACTTGGAGGAGATGACAGCTTATGT